TCCTTGCAACAATCACAACTTTATTATACATTCTTTCTTTTAGTTTTTTTTTCTTTAATTTAAAGTTACAATATGTAAATTTAACAATACGGTTACTCACTAAATTTCTTAAATGAGGGGTACAATCTAGAGATATGGCATGTCACGGGGTACACTAATGAAAAAAGGTTGGGAACCACTGCTTTAGGCTGTAGCTAGTTAGTTGGTAAAACTGGTGGTCTCTCTACTGAAGCCATTGGTGCTTAGAGTCTTTGTTTTATACACAAATTGCGTTTGCCTTCTCCACAGCTTTTTGTTGCTAAATACTTCCGCTGGGTTTGGTGGCCAGTTCTGTCCTTCCATAAGGCATTCGCCTATGAATGGGAGTCTGTCGTCGTCGTATTTTGAGCATGTGTAGAGGAAGTGTTCCGCTGTGGCCTCACTAGACTCATCACAGTTTCAGAGGTTGTTGTCCATTTTACCGAAACGGTTGAGATAGGCATGAAAGTTGCCGTGCTCGGTCAAAATTTGGTTAGTCTCGGCATTTGAAGTGTAGTGTGTGGCCTTGACACCGTGAGTAATAGATGGAATGAAGACGTAAGTTTTCTTACTTGTGTCTGCATTTTCCCATTCGCGTTGCCACTCGTTGAGAGCTAAGTTGGTAAGCTGGTTTTTTAACCATGAATGAGGAAATTTCTTGTAGGATGGTTCCCTGTTCAGGATTCAAGCCCTCTTAGCTAGTTTTTCCGCTAGTTCATTACCAGCTTGCCCCGTATGCCCAGGGATCCAATTGAAGTGGAGTTTTCTGATCTTGCTGAGGTTGTTGGCTTTAGAGATAAGATTGGCAGAAAGGCCGATGCGCCTCTTGCCATTCGTGAGGATACTAAGGGCCGTTCTACTGTCTGTGTAAAGGCATACAGTGCCTTTGTACTTGTGAATATTGTCTGTAATGTGGTTGATGGCTTTGAGTATCGCCCATAACTCAGCTTAGACATTCGTGCAGTGGGCCGCCATTTTGGAATACGTCTGATATTTAATCTTGTTTTTGTTATCCATTATTGCGACTCCTGCTCCCGTATCTTCCTCACCTATTGAACCATCCGTATAGATGCACCATGTTGCCCAGGTGTGGTTTTCCTCGGGATCGAGACATACAGTGTACCCTTGTGTCTCGTAAGGGTGGTTTGAGTCTACTTTGTTTTGATTTGTACCATCTAGGCCGTTTGCCTGAATGTCGGCCATGATGTTTGACAGGCTCCTAGTGATCATTTCCTTAACCTTGTTATAGATGTTGTTGTCCTGCCCGGGAGTTTGACCCCTGGAAATAAGCAAATGGTCGTGAGAGCCCTATTTTACTGTCGAAATTGCTATATTTGACATGGTTTTGAAATTAATTCTCTTACATTTCCTGTTGTCAATCGCTAATGACTTTATTTCTTCATTTGCTCACTTTGCTGATTTGCCAGGATAATTNTTATTGCGACTCCTGCTCCCGTATCTTCCTCACCTATTGAACCATCCGTATAGATGCACCATGTTGCCCAGGTGTGGTTTTCCTCGGGATCGAGACATACAGTGTACCCTTGTGTCTCGTAAGGGTGGTTTGAGTCTACTTTGTTTTGATTTGTACCATCTAGGCCGTTTGCCTGAATGTCGGCCATGATGTTTGACAGGCTCCTAGTGATCATTTCCTTAACCTTGTTATAGATGTTGTTGTCCTGCCCGGGAGTTTGACCCCTGGAAATAAGCAAATGGTCGTGAGAGCCCTATTTTACTGTCGAAATTGCTATATTTGACATGGTTTTGAAATTAATTCTCTTACATTTCCTGTTGTCAATCGCTAATGACTTTATTTCTTCATTTGCTCACTTTGCTGATTTGCCAGGATAATTCACAGATATTTTGACAGAGATATAACTGTTAAAATTTTGACAGAGATAATTGACAGAAATAAAACTGGTCTTTTACCATATAAACGCTCTAATAAATATGTGATTATTATTCACATTCAATATACTATGATCACTATACCTCATTTGTGACCCTTGCGTTTCGTCAACGTGTCAGTTATCTTCATAACTCAATGCTACAGACATATGACTTAATTGTACAACTGTGGTGCAAAATAAAGTGCTTCAGTATGGATTATGCATATCCTGGATATATTATTTGTGCTGCAGACGTGTGACTATACTACAAGTGTTTGCGCTGCAGGCAAGTAACTTTAATAGAGCCTTGTGTCCTTGTATCATCAATTACATATGGTCCATCATGATGTGATTAGACAAGAATACGCCATCTCATTGGGAAGACATTGTGCAACATACGACTTCGCTCCATAAACTTTAGATGGTCGACAGTCTGTGTTACCCTAACATCTGTCATAAACTATTAATGGCTTCATCATTGATGATCTTTGACAAAACTCAACATCAAAATAAATTGTGCAATAAACAACTCGACTTCATGAAATTTGAAGGGTTTCCACCTGTAATACAATATGAATACAACACGCTCAACAAATTGTCAAATAGTATAAGTTTAGTTTTAAGATAGTCATAAGTTTAGTTTTAAGATAGTCATAAGTTTAGTTTTAAGATAGTCATAAGTTTAGTTTTAATTTAGATTTTGTTAATCTTAATTTAACTTTATTTTATCTTTATGTTTTTTATTTTCTTTATGTATTCCCTTTATATTAATATTGTTAAACAATCTGCATGACAGATTGTAAGTATATATCTACTATGGTACACCAAAAACTTGTATTACAATCTTAATTCACTACTGTGATATCGATATGTAACTTTTATACTAATAATGTACTACTTCGCCGTCTTTTGTTTACTTACAAAATGTTAAGCGGTTTCTTCATCTGCGAAATATATTTCGATAAATAATGTGCATATATCTCTCAGCTATGTATTAAACGGTTCTGAGAATGCACCTACAGGGTGTTTAATAAAAGAATTTAATTTAATTTAATTTAATTAAATAAGCAAATACCAGGCGGTGGTTTTAGCCTGAATGTGGATTGGCGTTATGCCGGCCAAGACAAGGAGTGCACTTGTTGGAGCAGTGCGATAGGAACGGCAGATTTGGATGGCAAACCTTCGTTGAATTGAAAGGAGTTGCTTTCTGGCATGAATGTTGTAGACTGTCTCGTACCAGACCGGTACTGCGTAAAGAAGGGCCGGTTCCATGGCGGCCTTATAAATGGTTTTGGTGTTCTTGTAATTTAGACCCCAGTACTTACCTGTGATCCATTATAGTGTATTTGCCTTTTGGGTAAAGCGCTGGCAGAGCATTTTGACATGGTAGTCCCAGTTAAATTTCTCATCAAAGTAGACACCAAAATGTTTCAGTTCACTGATGACTTTGACTTTATTTGACGCTATATAAATGCTTGGCGCTCGTTGAAGTCTACCGCGATTATTGCGTCTCGTGCAGATTAAGGCTCGGCACTTCTCATAATTTATTGGGAGCTTGTTCCTACTGCTCCACTCGTGGATATTTTTTAAATGGGTGTTCGTGTCTTCTGCCAGTTTATCACAGTTTTTAGGAGCTACCACCAACATTAGGTCGTCAGCAAAGGCTTGGATGGCGGCTTTTCCGGTGTTATTAAAGGAATTTAGATGGTCATCAAAGACGAGGTTCCACAGACCAGGCCCTCATCTGGATCCTTGTGGACAACCTATGTTGATGTGCTTCTGAATGTTGATGGTGTTCGATTGGAAGGTCACGCTTCTGTTGGATAAGTAGCTATCAGTGAGCTTTAGAATGTTCCGTGGGCAATTAGTGTCTTTTAGCCTTTTGATTACACTCAGCCACTAGAGATGGTCGAATGATTTCCGGTAGTTGATGCTTACTACTAATGCGTGATTGTTTTGACTCCATGCCTTTATAACAAATGATTTTACGTTCAGAATTGCATCTGTTGTGGATTTGCCCTGCCGAAATCCGTATTGGTTTGGGCTCTGGAGGTTGTTATGATGGATGTGCCAGTTTATTCTTCCGATTATAAGACCATCCAGGACATTCTCCATAACTGGGAGTAGCCTAATTGGCCTGTAATGGTTTGGTCTGGTTGGTGTGTCCTCTTTCGGTATTAATTTAATGTTTCCCTTTTTCCATTTGCTGGGGAATAAACCTGTTTCTAAGCATGTGTTAAACAGGTGTACCAGGGCAATCAATCAATCAATCATTGTTTATTATGGTATAATTTTATACATGTTCTGGTACTGCAGTGAGCATCACCAGAAAATGAGGAAACAACAAATCAATAGTGTTACAGATTGTATTGAGCTACAAAATATTTATATATGAGAAAACATAAATCAGAAAACTAATAATTGTTTGTATGATCACAGTAATAAAATTTGAATATATTGTGAGTATAGGATTATATATACATTAAACAAATTGTAATTATATAGTGGTAACAAAAGAACAAATTCCGATTGCCCTGGTGTACCAGGGCAATCGGAATTTCTTTAAACGCCTCTTTTGTCATCTCTGGCGTAACTCCATCCAAACCTGGAGCCTTCCTGCTAGTCAGGGACCTGGCCGCTCTCTCAACTTCTTGGAAGGAGAATAATTGATCATTGGCTTTGTTAGGTAAGTTCTTGCACTCATTGCGAATTCTGCTCTTTGTTGGCAAGTCTTCCTCGAGAAAGTCTTTTGGAAAGTTGTCATCCAGGATTTCTTTAATGTTAGTTGTGATGTCGGGGGATTTCGTTTTTGTCGGGGTGTCCCATGCGCCCTTGGTAGTGTTCTTGCTACAGAATGCTTTTCAGGCCTTAGTCCTGGTTTTATTTATTTGTTTTTTATAGACTTTGATAGCTATTTGGTATTTCATTCGTAGTGTGTTTCTTTCTTGCTCGTTGTTACACCTGTTCAGTTTTCTTCAAAGCTTGGTGACCCTTCTTTTTAAGGTGTTAGTTCTTTTGTCCACCAATATGTTTCGTTTTTCTTGGTCCTTTTGGTTATGATTGCTTGCTTTGCTGCAAAGTATATTGCATTGGTTATGTAATTGGCATATTTGTCCAATTCCTCCTACTTGTTGACAGAGGGAAAGTTGTAATTTTCCACTGCTGCCCAAAAAGTTCCCTACACAACTCACAGTTGGTCCGACTGACTTGTTGAGTTTTTAAGTGGAGGGAGGTCAAGATATCTGAGATATGTGTAACTATGAACTTGTGATCGCTGACCGATAGGACCAGCATGGTTTCACAGTTCGTGATGCGATGGCTGAGTTCGTTTGACACCAAGCACACGTCAGTCCAACCTTCCGCGTGCGGAGTATAAAATGTCGAGAGGGTGGTCATGTTAGTAGAAATTAGGTCGTGCAAGTTCATTAGGTCGGCAACCAGCCTTCCCCTCTTATCCTCCCGAGTATGAAACCAGATCGGCGATTTGGCATTGAGATCGCAAGAGATTATGATCTGGTTGCTGTTAGTTTTCTGAATAGCGTTTGCCAACTTATTTATGCATGTTTCGTCTTCATCGTCTGGAGGGAAGTAGGCACATATAATATAAATCGGCGTGGGTTGTTGCATGACGGCTGCACAGATCCTATTTGAACACAGTTGTGGAATGAGGGCAATGTCCAGGTCAGGGTTGCACACAATAATTCCACATTTAGGTCTGGAATTGGTTTGGCCCATGAGTACCCGCCAGTTGCTGAACCGAACTATCTTGTTGCCGATTGTATAAGGCTCCTAGATTGTTATAATGTCACTCGCTGTCTTGATGAGAAGTAAGCAGGCTGCCTTACTTTTTTGAGCATTTAACTGTAGGAGCTTAATTGTGGTCATTGAGTGGCTTTGGTTGTTTCTGGTAGCATTCCTGGCCTGTTGGCCATCGGTGTTAGTGTCCTGTGTTGTATTTGCTGGTTGACTACAAGCCATAGTTGGTTCGATTTATGATCTGTTGTTTCATTTTTTGTAGAATGGGGCAGTTCTTGCTGAATGCTTTATGATGAACGAAATATTTTTTGCCCTCTGGAAGGCTTTCATTTGCTTGCTTACAGTTTATACAAGTGGCAGGGTTTTGTGCCGTTTTGTGCCGGTGGTCACATTCTTTGTACGAGTGCTTCTAGGTGCAGTGGCTGCATCTACGGTCGGTGGGGCATTCCCGTGCGAAATGATCAAATCTGCAGCACTGGTAGCAACGGACTACAGGGATAAAGTCGTCAACGTATATTGTTCACCAGGACATAGAAATATGACGGTGTTGAATTAGGGTGTTCCTTATTTTGGGAGTTACCGATAGGACTAGTTTTTTACAGTTTTCTTCGATTTTGCCATGATTGAAAATGATGCTCATTTTGCAGGATGAGATCACTTCCTCTGGATTAATGTCTCCCCAAATCTTGTTCTATTCTGTCATGACTTTAATTATGTCTTCTTCCTCGATGTATTTTGTGACATTGAGGAGAATAACCCTGGGTCTTCTCCCCTTAGATAATTTGCATTGGATTGTGCTTTGAAGTTCTGGTATTGCATCTATAGCCTCCTTGATTTTTTCTCATCTTGTTCATTTCCGACACGGACACACACTCCATTTGCCTTGACTTTACGTATTGCTTTGACCTTTATTTGTAGATGTTCAGGTCGGACTTCCTCGATAATTTTTGTTGTTATTTCATCCATGTTCGGTTCTTCGTCTCCAATTACCTTGGGGTACAGAGGGACAGCGTGTGTGCCCCAGCCCCCTCAGATTGTTCTTTAGTGTGGAGAGAGGCAGTTATTGTTTTTGTAGCCCTACTAGGTCGCGTGTCTAAGTTTTCACTAACAGCCTTGGCATAGGATTTTCCGGTTACAGCTGGTGTTTGATTTGACATTATAACACGGTTGGCTCTTATCTCACGTAGAATACCAAACAATTGGCTAACGCAGCAGTGCAGCTGCATCGCTCGTTCCTTAACTTTTTTTCGTGCTTCTGTGTTTAAGTATGATCGATCTTTTGCTGGAAGGAGGTCCATGACACGTATGCGATGTTGACCTGCCTCACAGAAGATAGTATTTTCCAGAGAGCAGGCGACCTCTATTGAGTCGTCCAAGGTATCCAGCTTTTGGGTAGGTTCGGCTGACCCCATTACGAAATGCCTTCTAAAACACGTGAAGCCGAAAAGAACAAAGAAATAAGCGTTGGCTGGCCCAGCTAAATGGCTGGACGCTGATAAGTTTTTTAGAAATAAGTCCTTTCCAAACTGCTTTGCCGAAGGTTCTGTACCCTCAGTAGTGTTCAAACCAGAATCCGTTACAGAAGTACTCGGAAAACAAACCAGAGCCCGCCACACGCAAAACGCCAAACCGGCTAGGACTCGCCGAGTGGCTAGACCTATTACGTGGCGAAGAAACAATCCTTTGTCTAACGGTAAACATTTAGACGTAAATAACTCGGCGAATAAATTACCTACAATAACCAAATTTCTACAGCTTATAGACGGGCCAGTGGCAAACAAATTCCGTCGGGATTACTAGCGGATCGCCAACGGGGGCCCGATGCGGGCCGACAACAAGTTATTATTTCGGACGGCCGTAACTCGAAAACTAAATGATCGATTTAAATAAAACCACTACTCGCAGTTAGCGTACTAAATGTAGAATCCACCGATATATAGTTATTCAAAGTCTAACGAAAATGCAATATGAGATCACTATCGAAATCGGAGCCGATCTTCACTCCGTGTGTTTTCCTTACACTGTGGACCATTTCGTCTCTACCATCAAAGTAAGCTTTTTTGGCACTTTATAATAGTACAGTAAAACCCGTTAAGATATTTTCGCCTACGATGTTAGAATGTGTATGAGGACACGATTTAGTTCAACCACACTGACGCTTAATAACTAACTCCTGTGTTAAACCATCTGACTCCGATTCTAACAACTCTGACCACAGAAATTATTAGGATTCAAACAGGGTGAACAAAATCATGCCTCCACCCAGTCTAACATCCACACATAGGAAAAAAAAAACTTCGAATTTTTTGCATATCTCGAAATTTCAAGTTGTCCTGAGTCCAAAAATGTAAAAACTTGAGAAGAGACATTTTTTTGACCGAGTATTACACTTTTCCTCTGTTATATATAACAGCCGGAACAGTAAAAATTATCGAATACATATTTATATATTGACTGTGTCATTACTTAGAAAAGTCTTTTAGCTTTGGAATAAGAAGTTTCTACGTTCTATCTTTATTAGAACTCAATTTAGTGAACTTTTTATTTTGAGGTGACGTGATGACATCAGAATTTTCGAGTCTCTTTCGATAACAAGTCTGCCTCTGGTCGGAGAGTCAAGGTCGAAGTCGGAGTTGGAGTCGGTAGATTTTTACGCGACTCCACAGCTCTGGTTGTAAATGCCACGATGTCACAATAAAAGATTTTAGCAAGGATCGTATGTTACCAGACATCTCTGATCTATTTTTTATATTACTAATATACCTTGTAAGGTTACTTACATATTGTATTGTATCATACATATTTTTATTACATATTGTATTGTATCATATATATTTTTATTATATAAATATTATTTATATAATGAAAAAGTTTAGAATTTAAAATTCTATGTTAATCGAATTTAATAGTTTTAAATTATAAAACAAATTTTTTTTATAACAAAAATTAAAATAATAATTCGTAATCATTACTTCTGAAGATTAAATACTTTTATTTAATCTTACTAGGTTACAGCGTGTTCGTTACTAAATAGTTTTACACAAAAAGCGTTCTGTTCTCTCTAATTTGATTTTGTACAATAAATTAAAACAACAACTAAAAACAAAAACAATTTATTAAATAATAAAAAAATTGTGACTTAAAAACTTTAAATTTTTTCTCTTAGTTTTACAATAATTTTTTTCTAGTACTGTTCTAGTGACTATAACAATTACAAACAGATTATCTTCGTGCTCTTATACTTTACATACGGTTCGATACAGAAATCAGTAAGTCTTTGAAATACACATTATGTGCGGTAAGCACTAAGAAAATCATTATCAGCCAGTAGCGTGCTGTCATTAGAAGCCGTAGATGCGCCGCTTTCCTTGTATTTTATAAAAAATAAATACATATTAACTTTAATTATATGAAAATAATCGCACAATATTTTATTATAACCGCATTATGTATCTTATTACAAATTTCTATACTATACGTAAAAAAAATAAGATTGCTATTGTATATTAGAATATTAGTGGCGAAGTGGAATCTCTGTATCGTCAGATTCCAAAAAGCCAGATTCGCGCATGCGCTTTACAGAGCACCAACTTGACCCGGTTAAGCCTGTGGAAGCCTACGACCTTGAGTTGCTGCTACACATTCCAACGCTTCCAATTCCATCCAGGACCGGTTCCGGGCTGTTAGCTGCCCCCCGCTAGATATTTGCCCGATTACATGAATAACGAGTAGATTTATAACTTAACTTTACCGATAAGAATTTACTGGTATGTTTTTACGATACTTTCGTATAGCTGACGGGAGTTAAGAAATTTCATTAAAATATTTGATATATTTATTCCGCTCTCCGATTTTATATTACTCGCGGATTTCAATGCTAAACCAGTTATATTACGATTTCGTATATCCCATCTTTTAAGGTAATGTAAAAAAAACGTGTATAATTCTTGTATAATGTTAAAAAATTAACCGTTACTGTGGTAGCATCATTTACAACTAAATTTAAGCTTGTTTTCGTCGTGGAGATTGTCATCGAATGGCGCTCGCGTGCTTCCTGATGAATTATTGTTTTTTGCGAAAAATTCGCTGAACTTTAGAGACATCATTAATATAAATATAATTTTTATGGACGTTAAACAATAAATGGTTTTTAGTAGGTCCGCTGCTCGTTTAGACTCAACGATTTATGGAATCCTCTCGCGACACGAGTCGGCGATGACGTTTTACCGAATTATAGGAGTTTTTTTTAGAATATTTGTACGAATACTGTCGCAATTTTTCGACGTGATATAAAAATTCGAACTATAAGAACCCGTGTTATAGGGGGTCGACTGTATTTCTGTTTTCCCAAAGAGGTATCTCTCAGCTAACCAGCAGTTTGACGCACTTTTGCCAACAAATTCCTGGGGGAGGTCATAGGGATACCTACCATGGAGTGCCACTTAAGTTTACTTTTATTTCTCTTGCTTGTTTTTTGTACTGTTGTTCTATTTTCTTCTAGAATAATCGTTTTCAAGAGTTTCCCCTTGGGTGGTGAGGCCCAATTTTTTAAAAAAAGAGGTCCTAAGGGCTAAGGAATTTTCACTCGTTAGTCCTTAGGGTCACTTTTCTTTTTTTTATCACTTTTGGCTTCGAGGACGTCATTCTCCATGTCGCGTATTAATAACAACTGAAGACGAGTAGAATCCTGAAATGTTTTTTTTTTTTTTAAAAAAGTGTATCAGAATTTAATTTCAGCATTAAATTGCATGCAGAAAAGGCGTAGAAGAATTTTTAAATGTGCGTAATTATTAGAGAATCATTTAAGAATTTAATAAGCAACCGCATAATTAAATAAGTAAAAATAACATTTATTCTACTGAAAATAAATGTGAAAAATAACAATATTATAAAAGTGTGCCGTTTACTAAACATCACATTTTTATATCTAGTGGTTAAAACACCGAGTTTCAGTACTTAAGGTATTTTGAGAGACACAA